TCTTATTCTTAGGATATTGGCAATCCTCTGGTTCCTACATTTATATCAATTAACAATATCATAATATATGGAAAGCTAAACAACTTAATGGATATAGCTATGTTGTTAAGGTCGGAAAAATGCTCTAACATTGCTTTTCAATTGATGTTGTATATCTATGCTAGTCGTTTCTTGAAAGAGCTTCATGATATGTCCACCAATTCATTCATATATTTTGGTGTATCTTAACTGTTGATGATGAACTAGGAAAACAATATCTAATTTTATTGTTTTTATTTTTCCTATGAAGTGTCTTTCAAAATTATTAGTGAATGTGACATTATAAGATATGGTGTTTATTTAGTCCTAATATAATATGAAATACTAATAAATTGATCCTATATGTGGGTTTCATTATAGCTAGCTAGCATATGTATATATACCTTTTTCTACAACAGAGCTTAACACTCTTTTAGATGACTTAAATTTTATCAAAGAACTGATAGTTTCTTTGGTAAGTTTCAATGGTATTAATGCTACATGTCTTAGTCGAATAATAAGATCCATTTGTGGATATACAACAAACATCTCAAGGTTGGAATCATCATTTTAATATGAAAACACAAGGTATGCTTTTATATCAAAATGAAGATCACATATGTGTTTACTAAGAACTAGTAGGAGCAAATTGATATTAATAATCTTCTATGAATGAGTCAAACTTAATCATATGAAGTTACATTCTGTCTATTGGTGGTTGTCGATGCCAACAAAAATAAATACCCTCAATATAGCACACAAGATAATGTATAAAGGTAAAGGGATCGTATCCACAAAGATTGGTTGCATTTGTTACTTCTAGGAAAATCTTGTTGTACAAACACTTGTAAAACTAAACTAATATAAAAATGGGGGATATTGGTCTTTTGAGATGTTTAAAAGAAAACTAGAGTTATAATAAGAATTAAAAACAAAATTCACCAAAACCAAGGTTTGATATAAAATCAACGAGGAAAAGATGGTTGACTTAAGGTTTCATCAATTGAACACTTGGTAAATACATCATTAGAATCCAAAATGCAATACTTGTCTTGCATCTCTAATTTGGCTATAGTAATCGAAGAAGTTTGAGATTACCTAGACTTTTCTTAGTTATTAAAATAATCAGAGAAGCTCATAACATATTTACTTTGTTAAAGTCACAATTTCCAATAAGCATGTAAATAGTGAAAATTAACTAGCATTAAGAACCAAAAAGTCACCGAATCCAAAAGGAGCCAAATGTTTCCACTGCCATGTTGGACAAAATGTTTTTATGATTGTGTGAAGTGAAAACTAACACAATAATCACTTGTTTCTTGTTAATTTGAGGATCCATTACTTAATCAACAAATTAAACTACTAATCTCTACATATACATTTAAGCTCATGAATAGAAACATATAAGTAGCACGAAGATGTTAAAGTATAAAACACTTTCATAAAGACTCGAGAACATGTTCTTGGACTTCTTCAACATTCAACCAAGCATTCAATTAAATTCACCAAAGTCAACCTAAATGAGTTTATCTTAGCATGTATAAACTTAAGGAAACTAAACAAAAGTTAAGAGTACCAGGCATGTAGCAAGAATCAAAGGCCAAAGATCATGTTTCTTCAAAGTTCCAAGACATCAAGAACTCCCAAATCTCTAGAGAAAATGATCCAAAATCAGATCTCCAAGTTATTTGAAAAGTGGCACACCAACCTTCCCCATGTAGCACAAAAGAGAGAATTCTGAAATTTCCCCTGTAGGGCCTTGCGTGGCCTACGTGATGTTGCACGGGTATGTCCTAACTTGGGCTCATTTTTTATTTGGGCTTCCAATGTCTTAGCCTACTGGCCTAGAACAAATCCAATTAGCTTGTAGTCCACCATGCCCAAAGATTTCTTCAATTTTAGCTCATTTCACCTTCATTATTCATCCAAAGCTCGTGCCCTCTCTACAAATCAATTTACATGCCCACATAATTCTTTAGTCGTTTTTCAATTTCAATGCCTAAACTTCTTCAATGAACCATCCACTAGTATTCTAGACTAATATTCCTTGTTTTCCACAAAGTCCAATCGCTTCCTACGCGTCCTGAACATCTCCGCTCCACTAATCTTCTTAAAACCTGGAATTATGATTCGCAAATTAGAAAATACCCGAAATAGTCATAAAATAACAAGAAGGAAAATATGCATGATGATTAGCTTAATTATGAATGAAATATGCTAAAATAAACTATAAAAAGAAGAAAATAAAATGAAACTATCAAATCACATCAAGCTTGAACCTTACTTGTCCTAAGTAAGACGAGACTAAAATGAACTAAACTAAAAAGAAAAAGAATGGACAGAACCATAGAACATGTTCAAAATTTGTCAACAAGGTCTTAGTTAATCTTGTTCTTATCCCAATAACTTTTCATCTGGTTGACGTTGGAACCATAAACCACAGTCCAAAACAACTTCTTCGAGTGATAAGGAGGGAAGTTCAATCATAACCCCAATGGAACACGCATCTGTGAAAAACCTATGTAGTAGGTAGAAAACAGATGGATAGGGTCGGATGCAGGTCTTCTTTAATTGTTCACTCTTATCACAAAAGTTGTGTGAACTCACGTTTGATAGTTTCTCTCCTGTTATTGGGTTTTATTGCTAGCGACCGTTGTAGAAATCGGTTCTCTTAGTGTTTGCTGGAACCTCTCGTAGCATCCAAATCGACAAACTCCCTAGCATCACCAAATTTGCAGAAAATACAACCCGATCTATATACAATAAAACCTACTTATCTACATGAATATCAATCGTCGGGAGACCAAATGTAAGAAAACTTGTTCAATAATAGAACCGATAACCTATCTAAAATAATTGCACATTATAATTGTTTATTTAAGCTTCTATTTTTCATATTTAAACATTTTGTTTTGAAATTTGCTTCTTGAACATAGCAAAATTTTTACCAAAATTATTTTTGACTCGAAATTTGGTTACAAGAGTGTGTATGTGCAATCAAAAGATAGTAATCCAAATGGTTTAAGTGTGCAAATAACCAGTGTGTGGAGCATAAAGTTGTAAGCTCATTTTCAAACTTTTGATTTTTAACATATAATAAAAATGTCTAAATGTAGACTAAAAGACTATCTAAAAACCTAAGAAAATCGAAAAAATTATGATGTAAAGAGACCAAATATGGATTGTCGGGGACAAGCACCAATGCTTCATCCTAACGATTTAAACATGATCAAGTGTGATCCTCTTAGCAGCATGGACCAAAGGGTAAAAGCATCCATTGTTATAGTATATCCTATAGTTGTTAGTATTGCATGTATAATTGTTCATGAAAACTGCCCTGACAATGATCATTTATCCCTTTGAGCATCTACAGTCGATCCCAAGTATGAAGTCCCAAACTCCGGCCTAATGGACCCAGTTCAATGTGTGAGATAACAACTAAGATCGTAAAATAATAATGGTACAATAACCATGACCATGTTCCATGGCATCCAATGGGTGAGAAGAAAATAGATAAAAAAAATGATCCTAAAGTAAATGTTATTCTAAAATAAAATGTGGAAAAAATAAGAAAATAAAATATATTTGGAATTTTATAAAAAAAAATGAATGCAATTATATTTAACCTAGCTAAAATGCGTGAAAAAATAAAAAAGAAAAGGGAATACCCCACCCCAAGCTTAACAATAAGCATCGCCGTTAATGCTTAAGGGAAGGACATAAATGACTTAAATTGGAGGACCAAGTGGCGGGAAATTTCCATGACGGTAGGGTAAATCCCATATGTCCTCGACTTGACAGAAAGTCGAGACTCCGATCTGTTCCAGACTACCAACTCTAGGTGCCACATCTTGAATGGCACATGTGTTCTTCTGATTCTGAACATCTACGCATTGAACATTAGAGAACATAATGGTAAATTGATCAAAGAATGTCGGGGGGGGGGGGGGGGGGGGGACCATGTTGGAATATATTGTCCCCTTTGTGATTGTGGCTGGAATTATGGTTAGGAAAACTATTGTGGAGGATCCTGGAAGTGGTCCTGCTAATAAATAGGTGGGTGCATCTGTGGCTGGAGGTCTAAATGGTCTTCAGCCTCGGGTATCTTGAAGGTTCGTATCGATCAGGTACACTCAAGTGCAAACAGTAAAGAACAAACAAAGAACAAAGAACAAGATGATCACAATGATAGTTGCACTAAGAAAGAGGGTTCTCGCCAAGAGAATAAGTCACAAAGACGACACCAAGCTCTATTAGGGTTTAAGCTTAATAGTACAATATATACAATTACATAGAACGAAGATCCCACTATTTTGGGGATGCAACTAAGATATGTAAAGGTTTGATCCTAATCACTAAGATTACAAATCAGTTATCTATTCTATATATACAACGTATAACACTGATTAAACTGATGTTGGCGCTGGAGCTGGTTGTCCACGTGTAGTTTTTGACTCATCACATCATAACGTGTGACCTTACAATCTCCCCTATCTGATGATGTTGTAAGGTCACACCATTTGATCTAATAAGTCAAAAACTACATGCAATACTAGAAAAACAGCCTTTTAGGACGCGCAATCAATGACACGTGCTAATAGAGGACACACATTTGTGCGTGCCCTAAAAATTGATGTCAGTTTTCCAAAATATGAAGCATAGAGGACACGCATTTTTGCGTGCCCTAAAATTAGTGTCTAATAAAAAAAAAACACGGAGGGCACCTTAAATAAAATGTGTGTCGTCTAACCATGTCGCTTTATAAATTTTAATGAAACGCGTGTTTCATCCGAGGGGGAAATGAAATCCAAAAATTAAAAAGCCCGCTTTGTTTCCACCGGCTGAAAACCCTAGCTCATCCCCGCCGAAAACCCCATTTCTTTCTTTCTTTTTTCTCTCTCGATTCTCAAACCTCCATTCACCTTCCGCCATCTGCTGCTTATTCGACCCTTCCGAGTGTCTCCCATCGCCGTCGACTTCCAATGAAAGACGAACGTTCTCGGTGTTCTGCCTCTGCAGCGATCGACAATCTCAACCGATCGCCTCGCCTCACTTTGTCGGCTACCTCACCTTGCCAGCAACCTCACCTTGCCGGCAACCTCAGGTCTAGTGATCTCATGCTCGCTTCTCTTTGTCGGCGACCTAAGTCCCGTTACATTGATCCATCCTCCCAAACTTTGGAAGAACTAGCACTTTTCTCCGGACCACACAAAATCCTCCCAAAAATCGGACTAGCACATCCAACAAATTGATTGCAAGTACCCCGCTTCATAGATGCGTCTACTTCTCAGCTTCTAGGGCTCGAATCCATATTTCCCCATGTCAACACTCCATCATCTGTTTACTTAGCTTACTAAAATCATCAATCTCGTAGATTTTAGTTACAAACACCCTTCAATATGACATCTTCAATCGATTTGGTAAAGGGTAGGCTTTTAAATGGATCGAATGAGTTCAATCATTGATGGAGGTTATTCATGTCGTCCACAGGTAAGCAATCCCTTGATCCGACCTAGTTATTTTAAGATTCATATTGTTTTTTCAATATTGTGATCATATTTTCTACTTGGGTTCTGATGGGTCTTGCTTCAGAATTTTTGAAGTACTCTCCCTACTGAAATAAAAATGATTCTTGCTTCAGAATTTTCAATTGATCCGACCTGTTAGTACCTAAATGAACCTACTCCTCCCTACTGAAATAAAAATGATTTTTGCTTCAGAATTTTTGAAGTACTCTCAAGGTTTGTCTAATTTTTTTATACAAAAGTTGTTTGGTTCAACATCTACATCTAGGGTTCAAAAACTAAAAGATTTGGAACATAATCAGTTTACTTGCAAACAAACAATGAAACATATTGGCATGTAGTACTTTGTCACCACACTAAAACATATTAGTTTTAAGTTTGGAAATCGTATAACTTTTCCCTCAAAAGTAAAAATGGAGTACATGAAAATAACCTACGAGCAACTGTATCTTCTATATTTTACAAGCACACTAAAAGTTGTTATCAAGACAACAGAATAGGCAGGGACCTGTGGGGGAGCTTATGATTGAGCATTTAGATCTTATTAACCATTATATGATAGTTTTTTCACATATTTAGCTATCGCTTTCAGCCAGAAATTCATGTATCTGGACTTAAATTTGGTCTCACCATCAACCACAAGATGCAAATGAATAAGTTTGACACGATTGATAACAAACTACAAAAATATTAAGAGGGTGTTTGTTTTTTCTCTGCAGATCTGCGTGGGCTCTTTTGTCTGCGCGGCGCAGACCAGGCGCAGACTTAAAGGTTTGTAGTGTGTTTGTTTTTCTGAAGTGCGCAGACATAAAAACGTCTGCGTGAGGTCTTCACCACACAGACTTGGGCCAACATCTTCTAAAGTATGCGAGTGTTTTAAACCTAAAAAAAATGCGTCCTTCTATTGTATCCGCCTCCATCGTCAAACCTTCCCACCTGGTCCATATTTCTCCATGGACAGAACCCATCCATCTTCAATCCATCGACCATCGCCTCCGATCAGCACCCCCGTCGCCGCCCTGCTCTCCGATCGAAGGCATCCAGTGACCAGGCGCCCGCCGACTTGTACGATTCACGCCACCAGCGAACAGGTTCGTCATATTCCTTGCGTTTTTTTTATTTTTTTTTATTATAGTTCGAACATGAAATTAACATGAAATTGAGGAATAATCTTGCTGTGAAAACTCTCTAATTCACTGAAAATCTTGTTTCTTGCTTCAAATTCTTGTTAAATGTTATTACAATACATGTATATCTCCTCCTTCACAATATGCTATTACAATACATGTATAGTACATGATCAGATTAGGTTTTTGCATACAAAAAGAATGGAACTACAGTCATGTATCATGTATGTTTGATTGATATTCTGGAAAATAATATAAATATATAGCCTATTTTGCTGAAAATTAAGAAAATTAAAGAAAGTCTTGCCTTTTCTTTTCATGTTTAAGTCTCATAAGTAGTGCAGAAGCAAAAGAGCCTTTTCCTATATGTGAAATAATGCTGTCAATTGTGAATTGTTTATTGCTGTGCATTGTGAATTGTTTATTGCTGTGAAATAATGCTGTCAATTGTGAATTGTTTATTGCTGTGAAATAATGCTGTGAATTGTGAATTGTTTATTGCTGTGAAATAATGATGTCAATTGTGAATTGTTTATTGTTGTGAAATAATGCTGTGAAAATTTGTGCTGAAAATGTGAAATAATGTTGTCAACTAACGATATCTAACAAGTCACGTGAAAATCACACTTTAGTTGTTGATTGTTTATTGTTATTTGGTTTTGAAAATACTCTTGATTGTTTCAACTCATTATTTTTTTTGTTGTAATGTGTATGATATGCAATACCTTATGAAATCATATTTGTCAATTTGTGAATGCTACAATACCTTATGAAATTATTATTGTCTATGATATATTGCTTATTAGAAATGGGAGAAAAACAACAATGGACCAATGAGCATTTAAAATGCTTATTGGATACTTGTATTGAAGAAGTAGAGAGTGTCGGTAGAAAAGGATTGAGTTTGCAGAAAGACTCATGGATAAGGATTGGAAGAGTTCTTAAGGAGAAATTTGGGTTTGAGTTGAGTCAAAAATAAATGAAAAACGCATATGACAATCTGAAAGCCAAATACACAGGATGGGTGTATTTAAAAAACAAAACTGGTAATATATACAACTCTCAAACAAACACTTTTAACTTAACAGCCGAGGAGTGGGATGATTTTAAGAAGGTATATCACATTTATATATATATATATATATATATATATATATATATATATATATATATATATATATATATATATATATATATTAAACATTTATGTTTGAAGTTGCCAAATATTCTTATACTATTTTTTGTTACATTTGGGTTTAGGGGCATCCGAAGGCTGCTTCATTGAGAACAATTCCACTACCTTTTCCAGATCTTTGTGCACGTCTTTTTGATGGAAATAGTGCTACTGGTAATTTTAGGAGTTACTCAACCCAATCATCATCAATAGCTGGAGCATCCTCTTGTCGTCTTCCACCACTTCAGATTACCGCCACCCCTTTTCATGCAATAGATGATGATGGTGATGACACTTCCCACCATGAGCCACCACCTTCTGCTGCTTCACCTTCTGTTGCTTCACCTTCTGCAGCTTCACCTTCTGCTGCTTCACCATATACTGCTTCACCATCTAGTAACCCCAACAAAAGGGCTAAACTCTCAACTCCTATATCTCCTAGTGCCTCACCGTCTGCTTCTTCACCTGATGGAACTTCTATTACTGGTGATGATTTAGCATTAGAAATGAAAAAAGCTCTACAAAGTTTGACTAAAGGGTATACAATCCCTCAATGTTTAGAGAAGTTAGAGGTCCTTCAGTTAGGCCCTACCGATCCTTTACGCTTTGTTTCATATCATATTTTTGGAGGGACCATGAACATGAGAGAGATGTGGATGCATTTGCCCGATGTTCCTGAGATATTACGATGATGGCTTGAGATGACGGGTACAATTTTAGGAGTTTTGAAGGATGGAAAGATTGTCCGATGATTTTTCTAGTGTTGAAACTATTTGTTAGGTCTTTTTGCCTTTGTTGGAACTATTTTGTTAGGTCTTTTTGCCTTTGTTGGAACTATTTTTTGTTATTTTGCTACTTGGAATATGGTTTATCTAATGTTTTTTTGGTACTTGAAATATGATTAATGTAATGTTTATTTGCTACGTCAAATATAGTTTATCTAATGTTTTTTTGCTACTTGAAATATGGTTTATGTAATGTTTTTTTTGCTACTTGAAATATGATTAATGTAATGTTTTTTAAAGTTCTACTTTGTTGATTTTAGGTTCATAATGGATCACGATCAAAAGTTACTTCTCGTAATTCTTATGTACCTGTACATCCGTTTTTTTTGGAAGAGGGGTGTGAAACGATTGCGGGGTAATGATTCGGAAATGACAGGACATTAATACACATTGGAGTTGTTACATCGTAATCGTTTACAATGTGTTGAAGTACTACGCATGTCCCGTGACTCTTTTGTACGACTATGTGCTCATTTTAGAGCAAATTACTCATTAAAGGATAGCAAACATGTATCGGTTGAGGAAAAGATGGCCATGTTTTTGATGATGATCGGCCATAATCAACGTTACGTGATTATCAAGCGGAAATTTCAACACTCGAAGCAAACAATTCATAAATGTTTTTATGAAGTGTTGGAAAAAATGATGCTTTTCGCACAAGATGTTATAGTACCAACTTCTTTTAATCCGAATCCAAATATTCCAGGACATAATAGGAGGCTACGACGGGTTTTCAAAGGGGCGGTTGGTGCACTTGATGGCACTTTGATACATGCTGTTGTCCCTGCTAAGAAACAAGACTTATATAGAAGTAGGGGAAAGGGAGACTGCTACCAAAACGTATTGGCAATTTGTGACTTCAATATGATTTTCACATTTGTTGTGGCCGGGTGGGAAGGGGTAGCGCATGACTCTAGAATATTATCAGAAGCAATAACCGATCCACAATCATCATTCCCGTTTCGACCACCCGGTAAGTTTTTGTTTTTTTTAAATACTCTTATCTTAGTTTGTAAATTGATTAGTGTTTTGCATTTTTTACAGACAAATATTATCTTTGTGATGCCGTGTATGCACACACACGAGGATTTATGGCCCCTTATCGTAATGTGAGGTATTGGCTTGGAGATTTTCGTCAAAGACGTGCATTGACCAATAAGGAAAAATTTAACCATGGACATGCAAAACTTCGAAATGTCATTGAGCATGCTTTTGGTGTTTTGAAAGCACGCTTCCCTATATTGAAGAGGATGACACCATTCCCGTTTGTGACACAAAGAAACATTGCCATGGCATGTTTCGCGCTTCATATTTTTATAAGGAGAGAAGGAATGAGTGATGAGTATTTTGCACGATACGATGAACCCAATGTCTCGTTTCGAAATAACAATGTGGGTGTTGATGATGATGAAGACGGGATTCCAACACATGGTACTACAGCAGACCGTGAATATATGACTCAGTTACGGGATGAAATTGCTGATCAGTTGATGCACAATATAGATTGAATTGTTTTAAATGAAATTGTTATTGTAAAACCAATTTTTTTATTGTATGACTAATTTAGATGCATGAATTTTATTTTCAATGTTATAAGACTATTATTATTAAAATGTTGGTGTTGGAAAATCATTTTATGTTTGTAAAATCATTTTATTTAAAATTTCAGTTTATTTAAGCAGCCTGCAGGCGTTAAAAAACAAACAGTCTTCTTATTTCAGACTGCAGACGTTTGGTCCACCTCTTCTGCTGCAGAGGCTTGCAGATGTGGTCCGCAGACTGCAGACATTTTGGCTTCAGAAAAACAAACAGCACCTAAGTGTACCCAAACTAGCATATTACGAAGTGAAAATTTTCATATTTAGTTATCAAAATAATAAATGGGTGTATTGGTAACCAAGTTTTTAGAGTTTTTTTAGAGTTTATAGGAGATGTTAAGAAAAACCTTGAACTAAAGAAAAGGTTTCGTTCGAGAGGCATGGGAAATGGTAATCTTATTCTTCTCTTTCTGTTTTATAAATTATAATCATACCCTTTTGGGTCTTCTTAGATGCTGTTTCTTTTTAACTTAATGAACTTAATGAAACGAGTTAAGCACAGAATCTGGCTTAATGTATTAAGAAACCAATTCTTTACCTATCATTACTCATTCAGTCAGTTTTTCCATACATGACTTAATGAGAAAAAAGGACAAAACTGCCCCTTAATTTTATTTATAACTTGGATGATGCAGTCATATTTTGGGGCAAATGTTTTACATCCAAGAACTATAATTCTAGTGATGAGATATGACATTCCCATTGTTATAAGAAACATCTTCAACCTCTCTGCACATGGAACAAAGATTTCAAGATCACCTGTTAATGAAGTTAATGATGTTAATGAAGTTAATGAAACTGAAGACAAAAAGAATTTGATGAAATATATAAAAGGGTTTGCAACAATAGACAATTTAGCCCTTGTCAATGTTGAGGGCTGAGTTTTTCTTGCATTTTATGTCCACTTTATCATTTTCTTTTACAATTTTTTTTACTTTTTTTTTTCATCAGAACTGGAATGGCTGGTGTTCTAGGTACATCAAGTGCCATTTTTGGTGCTGTAAAAGATGTTGGAGCTAATTTCATCATGATTTCTCAGGTATTTATCTCACTCTACTTTTATATAAGTATAAAAAGGGTATTTTGATCTTTTTTAATGAAAAATATGAATGAATAGAATCCCTTCCTCCCATCCCTAGGAATAATGAAATTCATCAAACATGGAATCTGAAGGAATTGAATTCGGTCCATATGGCAGCCAAAAACACCATGGAGAGGAATCCAAAATTCCAAACCAAACCCATCAAATTACTATTTTATTTTTTATTTATTTTTATTATTGATTTATTTACGGCTAGCAGTGAACATTATGCAGATAAACAAAATGCTTAAACCAGAAAAGTGGCAAACAACACTTAATAGTGATGGAAAGGTTTTTGGTTTTCAGAAAGCACTGAAATTGATTATTTTGGGGGTAAGTTTTTACTTTTTCTTCATCTTTCTTCTTTTACCTTTTAGCTCTATTATGTGGGATAATTATTACCATAAGTACACAATATTATTTTATTTTCCAGTTTTTAGGCATAGAATAGAACTTCGCTAATGTTTTTAATTTGTGTGTAGGGGGTAGATCCGTCAATAAGACCTGAAGTGTGGGAATTTCTTCTAGGATGTTATTCTTTGAGCAGTACAACAGATTACAGAAGAAGGCTAAGGACTGCAAGGAGTTTGAAATAATTCAGAGTTGAGGGGTTTTTCCTGCACAAATTTTAATTAGCTTTGTCATTGAATAAGTAAAAGACCACGTTTGAAGATGCTTTCCTGGTCTTTTGCATGTAGTTAGGTAGTTCCTATTTTTCTATTGAGTTTCTAGTTTAAATTGGAAGGTAAGTGTACGTTGTAATTTGTACCCTCTTATTGTTTTTCTTGTTTAGTGAATAAAAGAACTTTTGCCTCAGATTATCTCCTGTCCCTTTCCTATCTTATGTGTTGCTCTGTTCATTGTGTAGCCTTCTTTAAATTGTTTATTCTGGTTTTACCCTTCCCTGTCATTTGTCCCCTATGGAGTTTGCTTTCCTGTGACTTTGTTTCTTATCTTGGTAAAGAAAAGTCTTTGTTACCGCTGTAAAGACTAACATCTGGTATCAGAGCTTTCAGGTGCATGCCCAAGTATCAGTCTCGAAAAGAAATGACTGAAAATAATGGAAATGGCGACAAGGAAGGTCAGATCACTCTTCATTACCCAATGCTCTCCAGAAGTGATTATGGTGCATGGGCTATAAAGATGAGAGTCTTCATGCAAGCTCAAGGAGTTTGGGAGGCAGTGGAGCCCAGGACTCAGAACAGAGTTGTGGAAGTTAAGAAAGATAAGATAGCTTTGGCAGCCATCTATCAAGGTATTCCTGAAGACCTGTTACTCTCTTTGGCAGAGAAGAAGACAACCAAAGAGGCATGGGATGCCTTGAAAACCATGTTTATGGGAGCAGATAGGGTGAAGACAGCTAGGATACAGACATTGAAGACAGAGTTTGAGGCCATGACAATGAAGGAGACAGAAGTGATAGATGACTTTGCTGCGAAAGTATGCAACATTGTGAGCACCATGTGCACTCTTGGGGACACTATAGAAGAGTCCTACATTGTGCAGAAACTACTGAGGGCAGTACCATCCAAGTTTCACCAAATTGCTTCAACAATTGAGCAATTTGGAGATATAAACACCGTGTCTGTTGAAGAAGTGATAGGAAGGCTTAAGGCATATGAAGAACGGATGAAATGTCATGCTGAACTAGAAGATAGAAAACTCCTCATGACCAATCAACAATGGTCAGAGAAGAACAAGAAGAAAAGTGAGGCTGACTCAAAAGCAAAGACAAACCGGGGTGGTTTCAGTGGCTCACGTGGCAGAGGAAGAGGCATAGGAAGAGGTCGTGGTGGCCGTGGCAGAGGTGGTCACCATAAGGCAAAGGTACTTCCAGCAGTCAAGATAGAAGTGGTGGGCAGTGCTACAATTGCCAGGAGTTTGGGCACTATGAAACAGAGTGCAAGAACCCAAAGAAAGAAAGAAATCAAGAGGTTAACCTGGTCCATGATGATAATGAACCAGCTTTGCTGTTATCAGCCTTTGAAGAGACAGAGGAAGTACTTCTAAATGAAGAAAAAGTGAAACCTGAGGTGAAGCCAAATGGGGGAGCCCTGAATCAGTCCAAGGTGTGGTACCTTGACACTGGGCCCAACAACCACATGACTGGGGACAAAGACAAGTTTCAAAGCCTGGACAGAAAAATCCATGGGGTTGTGAAATTCGAGAATGAAACCAAAGTAAGAATCGAAGGGAAAGGATCGATTCTACTCCGGTGCAAGAATGGGGAAGAAAGAAGATTGAAGGATGTATATTACATACCTGATCTCTGCAGCAATATAATTAGCCTTGGGAAACTCTCTGAAGGAGATGATGAGATCAGAATTAAGGAACCTTTCCTGTGGGTTCATGATGATACTGGAAGGTTGCTAATGAATTTGAAGAAGTCTCCAAACCGGCTCTACAAAATCCAACTAGAAGAGGTTGCACCAAGGTGTTTAATAGCTAATCTAAGTGATCCAACATGGCTGTGGCACACAAGGCTAGGCCATGTAAATTTTACCTGCTTGAAGTCCATGTCTGAAAAGGGATTAATTGATGGGATCCCCAAGATGGAGATACCATCAGAGCCAAGAAACCCGTTCTGAAAGGGAAACAATCTAGGAATAAATTGGAACCCATGGGGACACCAGGGCTAGGAATCAGGCAACATATATTTCATGCTTTTAGTTGATGATTACAGCAGGGTCATGTGGGTATATCTAATGAAAAGTAAAGATGAAGCTTTTCGTACCTTCAAGAACTTTAGAAGCAAGGTGGAGATTGAAACCGGTGAAAAGCTAAAGGTATTAAGGACAGATCGTGGAGGTGAGTTCCTGTCAAAGCAATTTGATGAGTACTGTAGTGAAACTGGATTGGAACGCCACTACACTCCACCCTACTCCCCACAGCAAAATGGGGTAGTAGAGAGGCGAAACCGAACGGTGCTTGAGATGGCTCGGAGCTGCCTGAAGTCGATGATGGTACCCGATGTATTGTGGGGCGACGCGGTGAGTCACGCAGTTTATGTGCTAAACCGACTAAGCACCAAAGCTCTAGATGGGGCTATACCATATGAATTGTGGACCGGAAGAAAGCCACATGTTGGTCACTTGAGAATTTTTGGTTGTGTGGCTCACATGAAAGTAGCGAAGGGGCACCTCAAGAAATTGGACGATCGAAGCAAGAAACTGGTGTATCTTGGAACATAGAAAGGCACAAAGGCTCACAGGCTTCTAGGCCCTAATTCAGGCTTATTATATGTAAGCAGGGATGTAATCTTTGAAGAAAATCGGAGATAGGTATGGGAGGTTACGTCTAAGATCAAACCGACACCTGAGATGACGTTCACTGTTGAAGGCTTTGACTTCGGGGACGAGGTAAATAGCGATGAAGAAGAACGGGTGTCAGATACCCCTGATCATGAAAATGGGTCAAATATAATGCTTGGGCCGAATCACCTCAGCCCACAAACTCACCAGGCCACTGAAGTCATTACGATACATCCACTAGTACACCACCGGGTTCACCCGGTTCATCAATTACTCCAAATTTCCATACTCCGGTAACGACTCCAAGCAGTGTGTTAAGCTCCACAGGTGGCGGAGCCCCAAAACGCTAACGATTGCTCACTGATTTGTATGAAAACACTGAAGAAATTGAATTGCCACCGGATGAATTAATTATGGTAAGCAGCGATGATGAACCCTCAACCTACACCGAGGCTAGTCGCAAGAAGGAGTGGGTACAGGCGATGGAGGCTGAAATAGCCTCGATTGAAAGAAATAAAACTTGATATCTAGTCGAACTCCCAAGAAATCGGAAACCAATTGGATTGAAGTGGGTCTTCAAAGTAAAACGAGACCCGACTGGAAGGATACTGAAGCACAAAGCTAGGATCGTGGCAAAAGGCTATATGCAGAAATATGGAATCGAATATGATGAGGTATTTGCCCCTGTTGCCAGAATTGAAACTGTTCGTGTTATTCTTGCTCTTGCTGGTTCGAATGGTTGGGGTGTTCATCACCTTGATGTGAAATCGGCCTTCTTGAACGGGAAGTTAGAAGAGGAGGTGTATGTCACACAACCAGAAGGTTTTGAAAAGAAAGGTGAAGCAAACAAGGTCCTTAAACTGACAAAGGCACTTTACGGGCTGAAACAAGCGCCCAGGGCATCGAACTCGTGTCTGGATGCTTACTTGAAAAGTCTTGGATTCAAAAGGTGCCCCCAGGAATACTCTGTATATACCAGGTTGAAGAATGGAAACACTTTAATTATTGGAGTCTATGTTGATGACTTGTTGGTGACTGGAAGCTCTACTGCTGATGTGAAAGAGTTCAAGATGGAGATGAATGCAACATTCGAAATGAGTGATCTTGGTCTCCTAACCTACTACCTGGGAATTGAGGTAAACCAACACAAGAACTCTATTTCATTGAAACAAGAAGCATATGCTAGAAATCTTCTAGAAAAGACTCGTATGCTTGAGTGTAATCCCACCAAAAGTCCCATGGAACACAAGGTACAGCTGACTAAAGAAGGAGATGGAGAGCTTGTCAATCCCACTGAGTACAAGAGTATAGTGGGTGGACTTAGGTACCTGACTCACACCCGTCCAGACTTGGAATTTGCAGTTGGAGTAGTGAGCCGCTTTATCGAGAGACCTACCATGGTTCATCTACAAGCTGTGAAAGGGATTCTCAGGTACATAAAGGACACTTTAGACCATGGTTTGGTCTACACAAGAGGCGAAAAGAAAATTAATATTGCAGGGTATTCGGATAGTGATCATGCAAAGGACTTGGATGATAGAAGAAGTACAGGAGGGATGGTGTTTTATGTGAATGGAAATCTAGTTTCTTGGTGGTCACAAAAACAAAGATGTGTAGCTCTATCTTCATGTGAGGCTGAATTTATGGCAGCCACTATGACTGCATGTCAAGGCATTTGGCTACGTAGGCTCCTGTCATCAATAACAGGTCAGAACATCCCACCAGTGGCAATGTATGTGGATAACAAGTCAGCACTAGAACTCATGAAAAACCCAGTTTTTTCACCGAAGAAGTAAGCATATAGACATAAGGTTTCACTTTATCACTATCAGGGAGTGTGTGGAGAATGGAGATATCACAGTCTCACATGCAGATGGAAAGGAACAGAAGGCAGATTTACTTACAAAAGCTTTGGCTAAAGTGAAACATGAAGAAATGTGTAAACTGATTGGCATGAAGAAGGTTGAGAACTCTGAATTAGGACGGAAAATGTTGAAATAATTCAGAGTTGAGGGGTTTTTCCTGCACAAATTTTAATTAGCTTTCTCATTGAATAAGTAAAAGACCACGTGTGAAGATGCTTTCCTGGTCTTTAGCATGTAGCTAGGTAGTTCCTATTTTTCTGTTGAGTTTCTAGTTTAAATTGGAAGGCAAGTGTACGTTGTAATTTGTACCCTGTTATTGTTTTTCTTGTTCAGTGAATAAAAGCACTTTTGCCTCAGATTATCTCATGTCCCTTTCCTATCTTCTGTGTTGCTCTGTTCATTGTGTAGCCTTCTTTAAATTGTTTATTCCGGTTTTACCCTTCCCTGTCATTTGTCAAGTTTTGTCCCCTGTGGAGTTTTCTTTCCTGTGACTTTGTTTCTTATCTTGGTAAAGAAAAGTGTTTGTTACCCCTACAAAGACTAACAAGGAGGTCTGTACTCTCTACTATGTTGTTTATGTATTCTATTTTAACTGCTTATTTTATTGTTTATTTTATTCATTGTATAAATTCCTTTCCACCAATTACTAGATTTTGAATGCCTTTTGTGACACATATCATGTTGCATGCATTGACCTAGTATGTAATATTAGTTTCTACATCACTCTAATCATTAGTATGATTGGAAAATATATAACACCAGGAGAGATAAAGAAAAGTAAATTACTTTAATAAATAAATAAATATCGTTAAGCTTTAAGTGCTGGACGTCTTTCTCAGGTTTTGACCTTTTTGTTGACCTTTTTTATAAAAACTTTCACCTACAATTTTCACCAACTTTTTACATAATAAATATTAGTTACATTTTTGTGACAGGTGGCAGTGATTCCAAACTCTAGCATTCTTGCAGCAGCTGGCCAGAAAATGGCAAGTACTCCAGGTGTCAGTGCAACTCTATTCAATGCACTTGCAAAGGTAACACCTTTTTCTAATTTAATTCATACATATACATTATAATATAGCATGATATTTATTTATTAAATGTTGAAATTCAGGCTAATATTAATGTGAGAGCTATAGCACAAGGGTGCTCCGAGTACAACATCACTGTAGTTGTAAAAAAGGAAGATTGTGTAAGAGCCTTACGAGCAGTTCATTCAAGATTCTATCTTTCAAAAACATCAATAGATGTGGGTATTATTGGGCCTGGGCTTATTGGTGCCGCTTTACTTAATCAGCTTAGAGAACACGTATATTTTATATTTTATATTTCATATCATTTCTTATTAATTGCTTATGAATCTAAACATTTATAACTTGCATGTTTTTCAGGCAGCAGTGCTAAAGGAAAAATCCAACACAGATTTACGTGTCATGGGAATCCTTGGATCAAAGAAAATGCTGCTGAGTGACACGTAAGTTTCATTTGTTGAAAATTTCATTGATCATTATATTAATTTTTAATTTTTTGATTTTGGTGATGTAGGGGTGTTGACCTTTCTACATGGAAAGAAGTTCATAAGGAGAAAAGGGAAAAAGCTGATTTGGAAAAGTTTGTTCAACATGTTCATGGGAATCCCTTTATTCCTAATACAGTAATAGTAGATTGTACAACAAGTACTGTTGTAGCAGATCACTACCATGACTGGTTGCGAGAAGGAATTCATGTCATTACCACTTGATAAGGTAACAATATTAAAATTCTATTCCTACAATTGAATGTAATCACTCATTCCATTCCATTCCTTTAATTACAGTATTTGAACACGAGAGCTCTTCAAAGGCAATCATTTACTCATTACATTTATGAAGCCACTGTTGGAGCTAGTCTTCCAATCATGCATACTTTACGAGATTTACTTCAAACAGGGGACAAGATTATACGCATTGAAGGAATTTTCAGGAAAAGGTTGCTTTCTTGGCTGATAATGATGCTAGGCTTGCTGTAGATCCAAACAATAACGATGGTAAAAGTGTATTTAAAGGCTTACAACCTTCCATTTTGTTATTTGGGTTTCAATGATGTTCTATTAGTTTGTTTAATTTTTACCCTGTTTATTCCATTCTTGGTCACTGCATATAGCAGACATACTGATACTGATGATACTGATTATGTGACTAGATAATAGTTAGTATCTATGATGTATCTGTTGATTTTACTATTGTGGGAAAGCTCCTTAATGTATAATCCATAACCACATTTTATTCTATGCCAAATAATAATAATTAAAAAACTTAGGTGTCGATTTTGAGTCAAACTAACTAATGTTTATTCTTCTATTTTGTTTTAGAGTTTTGAAAGGTGAATTACAAAAGGATGGGTGATACCAATGAAATCAAAGCATCCTTCTACACTTGCAGATCCTTTTTCCTTTTTACAATTGTTATCTTTCTAATACTTTGTCTGCTTCATGACAGTTACCATCCAAAAACTGTGATAAACAGTAAGTTTACCCCTGGAAAGGACTCCATTCAACAAGGATCATATATTGACATAAAGGGTTCAAACTGTTCTCTTTAGTAAGGTAATTATAGGTTGACATTTGCGAAATCTGGTGTTTATCAAACTCTTTGTTGACATTTGCCAAATTGCTTCTATTTGTTAAAATAGTTAATACATGTTCAAGTATGTATACGAATACCTTTTTTCATATAGTGATATAATAATTTATCTATTCCACGAGTTTGTTTGCAAATATTTATCTAGAAAATTGATTAATTTGTTTTAGATTTATCTTTATCTTTCGAGTAGGAAGAAGATGCAGAATGGTATTCACGGGCAACCAACTTTATCTCAGAGCCTGTTATAGACTACACTGCAATTTATCTATTCAGGTTATTCTTTTAGAAAGGAAATTGTCAAAGGAGAATTTAGTAATGGGTTTCTTTTAATGTTGTACATGTTTTGTTTTCTATAATAAATATTATGCAATATTAGCAATGTGTTACATTTACTTACTATTGGAATGATTATTTGAATTTTGACATATTAGTGCAATGAATTATCTTTATTGTTTATAGTATTTTATTTTGTATTATGAGACTTTTAATGTGTTATTTAATTTGAAAATTAGTAAATGTATCAAAAATATATAATTTTAAAAACATTTAAAATTATGACACGCAAAAATGTGTGTCGTCTTCCTTTATGACAGAGGCTTCCTTGATACGCATTGCGTGTCATAAACACGCACGTCGTAAGGTTACGACACGCAAATGCGTGTCGTCTTCCTTTATGACAGGGCATTCCTTGATACGCATTGCGTGTCATAACTGCGCGTCGTAAATGCGTGTCATAAATGCGCGTCGTAAATAGACGACGCGCAAAAGCGTGTCGTCTCTCGTTATGACAGGGCCTTCCTTGACACGCGTTTGCGCATCGTCTGAGTGTTTTACGACACGCATTGCGCGTCGTAAAAGGATATTTTTCTAGTAGTGATGCTGACCACCAACACCAACACCAGATCTTATCAGCGTCAACGTGAACCTATGATCTTTGTGATCTTATGTATATTAGGCAGTTATATATATATATATATATATATATATATATATATATATATATATATATATATATATATATATATATAATATATATATATATATATATATATATATATATATAACAGATAACCAATCTGTAATCTTAATGATTAGGATCAGACCTTTACAAGTATTGGTACAAGTTCTTTGCAGTAACCTTGGACAATGTGAGAAGAATAGTAGCGATCTAGTAAAAAAGCTTAATGAAAAGGAAAGCGACTTGTACATTTTTGATCTGGAGAAGCATCCTGAAGAAAGTAAGAAGAGGATATCAGATCTGGAGGAAAAAGCTTCAAAGAATTTGTCATCACAAAACCCTAGTTCTTGATGGGTTTTAAGCACTATAACATCCCTATGGTGCACATACAACCCTAATGCTTTGGATCTAAGTTTTCTCTAGTTATACATGCAATTTTCATTTTCCCAAAGCATGAAGCCTAACTAGCATACAACTTTGATATTTGAAACATAAAAACTAGATATATTAATACCTCTTGTTGTAGCTTGTCGAACTTGGCCTTTCAAGAGCATAGCACCTCAAATGTGATGCCTCTAATAAGTCACAAACACCGCCAACAATTAGAGGACAATGAGAGAAAGCTTGGAGGCACTAAAAATCGGCTATACTCTTCTTATAATACTTGTATGTCAATTTTTGGTGCTTAGGGGTTACATATATAGTGTAGAATTCGAAGGGTCACTTGTAAACCCTAATTCATACTCTTAGTCTTTTAATCCAATAACCCATTTGGAACAACACCTCACGGACTGTCACATAAGCTTAGCCTGTCACTAATCAATCATGGATTATTAGCCCAAACTATATGTATCACTGATTTACATAATCAGCCCCTGTTTATTTAATCAGTCTCTTTTGATCACTAAATTAATTCCAAATTAATTCTTGATCAATACCAATTAAATAATATGATTTCTCAATTAATATATTATACTTATAATATATTAATAAATCACAAATAACCTCTTTCTCAAATATCCGTCCCATCAAATTGTTCTAGTGAAGGCAACCCAAAAGGACCATGCTACTATCGGGTGAAGTACATACCAACTATAGTTTTCGGCTTAGACACCTAATCCAACAGTCTCCCACTTGGATAAGTCTAATAACTATAACTACAAGTAAAACCGATTACCAATCGTAGCTCTTAAAAGCCGATGTCGAGCTTTCACGCGTCCTTTAGATAAGGGATCATATAATCCTTTATTCTTCAAGATATCGTGTGGACAAAGACATGGAATAAATCATACTCATTGTCCAACAATTTTTTTCCCGATTTCTGATTTGTTTGACATAGAACTTAATTGAACACATCAATTGCATCCTGACCGAACCCGACACATAAGTCAAGACAAAATCATCAATGGGCCCAAGATATTGCTTTTAATCATGTTAGGATAAAAGGAACAGATAAACTTCGACGTATATGCTTGTACTAATTACTTGTTAAATCATACACAACAACACGTTTTACAACATCAAGTTACTGATGCGTTTTCGTACTATCAATGCACAACCAACTTGTAATCAACAACTCATATATCTTGGTTTGAAGACTATACAATATTATCATCTCACATTCACTCGTGATAAATTCCATGAAGTGATTCATTTGAGCGTGGGTTTAATCCAATACTCAAATCTTCTTTTAGGAGCACTCATGAATGTTGTAGCAAACTTTTGCTATGTCTAAACACTTTAGACAATCTACAAGCTAATTCATGACAGTCTAACCTCGTAGCCTACTTCCGAAGTATGATCGAATGTGGATGGTTTGAACAATCTTATTATTCTGGACGTCAAAACATGCAAAATGAAACAATAGTAAACAATTGACACAGAATAGTAACTTTACTCATAAATAAAACTCCTTTTATTTAATCATCAAATGTCAATGACATGTAATCTATTACAAGTTTCTAAACATGTATCTAATCACTAAAACTAATATCGCCCTTCAGCCCAATACTCCTAGCATGCTGCAGGTACTTAACCCTACCCAGTCCCTTCGTAAGGGGATCTGATGGGTTGTCCTTTGACGATACCCTATTTACTATGAGGAGTCCTTCTTATACCTGATGTCTTATGAAGTGATATTTTCTGTCGATGTGCCTGGATATGCCATGATCCCTCGGTTCCTTAGTTAAGGCGACCGCACCCTCGTTGTCACAGAAAATCTCCATAGGCTCCTTTTACAGCTGGTACAACTCCAAGGTTTCCGATGAAGTTCTTCAACCATATTGCCTCCTTCGACGCTTCGCTTGCTGCTACGTAATCTGATTCGCACGTTGAATCAACTATAATCTCCTTTTTGGAACTTTTCCATGTTACTGCTCCTCCATTTAGCGTAAATACCCAGCCCGAATGAGAGCGGAAATTATCTTTGTCGGTCTGAAAGTTGTCGTCACTATACCCTGTCACTCTTAAGTCATCACTCCCACCGAGAGTAAGGACCCAGTCCTTAGTCCTCCACAGGTACTTAAGAATGTTCTTCACTGTATCTAGTGAGCTCTACCAGGATTCCCTTGATATATGCTGACAATGTTTAAAGCAAAAGCCACATCAGGGCGAGTACAAGTCATAGCATACATGATCGAGCCAACTGCCGAAGCATATGGTACTTCGCTCATCTTTGCTATCTCGACATCAGTACTCGGACTCTAAGTCTTACTCAGTTTGGTATTGCTCTGGATAGGCAATTCTCCTTTCTTGGGATTCTCCATGTTGAAACGTTTCAATACCTTGTCCAAGTAGGTACTTTGACTAAGTCCTATTAGTCATTTACTCCTATTGTTTATTATCCTTATCCCTATAATGTAAGGAGCTTCCCCAAGGTCCTTCATAGCGAAACACTTTCCAAGCCAGGACTTAACCTCCTGCAAGGTTGGGATGTCATTTCATATGAGCAGTATGTCATCTACATACAATACGAGAAAGCTAACTATACTCCCACTAGCTTTGACATGTACGCAAGACTCATCCTCGCTTCTCGAGAAACCAAACTCTTTGACTTTCTCATCGAAACAAAGATTCCATCTACGAGATGCTTGCTTCAATCCATAAATGGATTTCTCAAGCTTACACACTCTATTAGGGTACTTTGCATTGAATAAACCCTCTACCTGACTCATGTAAACGTCTTCAGCCAACTTCCCATTTAGGAAAGCGGTTTTGACATCCATTTGCCATATTTCATAATCATGAAATGTAGCTATGGATAGCATAACCCTTTATAGATTTAATCTTCTCTACTGGTGAGAAGGTCTCATCATAGTCAACTCGATGAGTTTGAGTAAAGCCCTTCGCAACCAATCGCGCCTTATATGTGTGTACTTTCCCATCCATGTCGGTCATCTTCTTGAAGATCCATTTGCACCCGACCGTCATACGACCTGGTACATTGTCAATCAACTTCCAAAATTAATTGTCATACATGGACTGAATCACATTGTCCATCACCTCTTTTCATTTTGTAGACTCGGGGACTGCCATGGCTTCCTTGTAATTGTTAGGTTCATCCAAATTTACCAGTGTACTATCACTGATAAATGTATCACCATCTGTAGTAATATGGAAACCATAAAACTCAGGTGCCACTCTAACTCTACTGGAACGTCTTAGAGGCAAGGATTCGTCAATTGCTTCAACAGGAGTTTCATCTTCGGGTTGAGCGCTAGTGTTTGAGGTTCCTTCATCACTTAACTCTTGAAGCTCTTTGAGGTCAATTTGCATCCCACTGTCCTCTTGGGATATGAGTTCTCTTTTAAGGAACACCCATCTCCTTGTTGGGTTTTGATCATTGTAACACTCCTATGGTATACATGCAACCCTAGAAACCTTGGATCTATGTTTTCTCTAAAATACATGCAAATTTGATTTCCAAGGTTTACAACCTAACTAGCATGTTATGGGGTACTTGTAAAATAAACTTTAAGGAGAATAACATACCTTTCTTTTGTGCTTGACTGCTTGGAGTTTTAGAGCCTAGCACCAATAGTGTGGATGCCTCAAGTGGTGTCACAAATCACCCAAAACAACTTGGAAATACTTGAGAGAATCTAATGCTTGCTAGAATCGGCCCACCCTTGTTTCTCACACACACTAGTGCCAATTCTAGAACCAAGGACCTCTTTATATACTATGGATGATTAGGTTTAAACCCTAATACCCATGACTCTTCATTTACCTAGGATCCATGGGTTAAAAGCTCCATGGACTTCCATATACTCTTAGCCCATCCTAAATAAATCTTAGCCCAATCCATATATATATATATATATATATATATATATATATATATATGTAATAGTCCATATTTAATTAGCCTCTTTTGATCATTAGATTAATTTCAAAATTAATTCTTGATCAACACTAATTAAATAATATAATTAATATATTATAACTTATAATATATTAATAGATCATAAGCATCTTATTCTCAAAAGTATATCCATACAAATTGTTAGGTGAAGTGCAACCCAAATGGACCATGTCGGCTCAGGTCAAGTTATACCAAATATAGTTACAGACTTAGACACCTTATCCAACAGTTTCCCAATTGGATAAGTCTGATAACTATAGTTGCAAGTATAACTTCAGGAACCAACGAGCAATCATAGCTCTTTTAAAACTTTGTTGAACTATGAAGCGCAATTTTAGATAAGTGATCATATAATCCTCTATTCTCAAGATATCAGCCGGAAAAATACATGGAACAAGGTCGTACTTATTGTCCAGCAGTTGTTTCTCGATCTCTGATTTGTTTGACATAGAACTAAATTGAACACGTCAATTAGGTTCTGACCGGGCCCGATACATAAGTCAAAACCAAATCATCGAGGGGCCCAGATATCGCTTCTATTGCTAGAAGGAACAGATAAACTTCGACTCATATGCTTGTACTAACTACAAGTTGAATTAAGCACAAAAGCACGTTTTATGACATCAAGTTACTGATGCGTTTTCGTACAATCAATGGATAACCAACTCATAGTCAACGACTTATATCTCTAGGTTTGAAGATATATATGATATTACCGTCTCACGATCACTCGAGATAAATTCCATGAAGTGATACAAGTGAGTGTGGGTTTAATCCAATACTTAGAACTTATGAGCACTCATGAATGTTGTAGCAACCATTGCAATGTCTAATGCACCTTAGAAAAATCTTACAAGCCAAATTCATAACAGTCTTAATTCAATACCTACTTCCAACGTATGACCGACTGTGGAGAGTTTTGAATAAAATAATTATTCTGGAAGTCAAAACATGCAAAATTGAAAAAATAGTAAACGATCAATATAGG